TACAACTTTCCTCTCGTTACTTAATGCTCACTGCCCCCACCTCACCCCACCCCACTATCATGAGCCCAGTTCTTCCTTACAAATCCGGCTAGACCAGAGGATGTACACTAGTACAGATAAGAGCTGGAAACACAGGGAATCCAGGACAGATAAACCCCTCAGGATGAATAATGAGAGTAGCGATACCAGGAGGGTAAGGGTAAGGTGGTGTAGAAAGGGTGAACCCATCACAAGGATTTACATATAATCCCCTCCCTGGGGGACGGACAACAGAAAGGTGGGTGAAGGGAGATGTCAGACAGTGTAAGACATGACAAAATAATAATAATTTATAAATTGTCAAGGGTTCATTAAGGAGGGAGGGTGGGGGAGTGAGGGAGGGAAAAAATGAGGAGCTGATACCAAGGGCTCAAGTAGAAGGAAAATGTTTTGAGAATGATGAAGCCAACAAATGTACAAATGTGCTTGACACGATGGATGTGTGTATGGGTTGTGATAAGAGTTGTACAAGCCCCCAGTACAATGATTGAAAAAGAAGAAGACAAGTTAAGTAAGGAGATTAACATGCACTTTAAAAAGATACTCTGTGCTCTGGTGGAAGACCATCATCGTCAAGCCCCCACCGTTTATTGAGAAACTGCTTCTGTACATAATTGTAACAGAGTGTGCGGCACAATTTGAGGGCAGGGACACAGGCTAAGCAAAATCCTAAAGCGTTTTCCTTCCTGCCCAACTCATAATTCTTCGGGCGATTTCAAGGTGGTGTAGTACCCGCAACCCAGGAGAACGAGTGGAGGCCGTTCTTTGTGTGAAAGGATGTTAGAGACTAGGAGCATTGTTGCCTCACAAGGCGTAAAATTATGCGGAGTGAAATAAGTGTGTCATGAAAAGATACAGACTATGTCCCTACTCAGGTGAGATATTGAGAGCAGGCAAATGTCTAGAGATCAAAATGTATTACTGGTTCCCAGGCGCAGGAGGGAGGGGCTGGGAGACTCATTGGCTAGGGGACGCTGAGCCTCCATTATGGGTGATGGAAACATTCACAAGTAGGTAATGGTGGTGGTGACATGTGTGGTGAGCTTAATGAATGTCACTGAACCTACATGTAAAAATATTGACATGTGTTCTAATACATATATTGAATATGAAGGAGGCTCAGAAAGTTCACGGGAAAATCCCATTATCCTTTAGTTCAGTGGTTCTCAATTTGTGGGTCGAACAACCCTTTCACAGGGGTCGACCAATTCATAACAGTAGCAAAATTACAGTTAGGAAGTAGCAACGACAATAAGTTTACGGTTGGGGGGGGTCACCGCCACACGGAGAACTGTGTGAAAGGGTCACGGCATGAGGAAGGTTGAGAACCACTGCTTTGGTGCCATGAACTTCTTCATATGCATCTTTGTGTACATGTATCCATATGCATATACACACGTATCCATATGCACATACACACATGTATCCATATGCATATACACACACATGTATCCATATGCATACACACATGTATCCACATGCATATACACACATGTATCCACATGCACATGCGCACATGCATCCATATGCATATACACACATGTATCCACATGCACATACACAATGCATCCATATGCATGTACACACATGTATCCACATGCATATACACACATGTATCCATATGCACACACACACATCATTTGAAAATGGAAAACTATATGAAGCCAGGTGTGATCTCAAGCGCCCAGTGCACTTCAATGGGCAGGAGAGATACAGAAGCTCCGCGGTGCTGGTTCTTTCCTGGATTTCTTGGGTCTGTGACTGAAATCTGTAGTTTCATGAGCGAGGGAAGTTGACCATCAGCAACGGAACGGCAAACTACAGTATATTTACGTGTCCGTGGAGCTGGGGGTTGACCTCGTCCATACGTGAAATAGTCTCGTGTAAGTCAAGCCGGAAGCTACTGAGTTAGCCAATGTCCTGCCGTCAAATCTTCCTAATGCTGCGTGATGACTAATGGGATTGTTTTCTCTGTTTTCTATATAGTAATGCAGAAAGCCTGGCGAGAGCGAAACCCCCAAGCTAGGATTTCGGCGGCGCATGAAGCCTTGGAGATAAATGAGTAAGTGGGGGAAATCTTGCTCTTAGAGAGGAAGTCTCGTCCTTTGCTGAGTGTTTTCAGTTGCCATTGACGGGATCCTTAGAACAAGCTTTGCATGTGAACTTGAACATTATTTGGGAGAGTATTACTTTACTAATATTGTTTTATGAAGGACAGCCATGTGGAAGTCGTTTTAGACATTTTAGAGAGTGAGTTAGTGGCTCTGTTATGACCCTAAATTAAATTCTTCAAGGGCAATTCCTGGGATAATGTGAGGACATAAAATAAATTCAGCCCCTTGCATAGCTAAGACACTTTGACAGAGACGCTTTTCCAGATGGAGGGTGCTCATCTGTGCCATCACATTTTCTACATAGAACCTCTCCGCTCGTGGGGAAAACGTCATAAAGACACCAGGTTAAAAACCACCACAACAAAAGTGCACAAGAGGAACAGCTAACAGGAAGCATTTCAAAACCAAGACACTGATATGAGAAAATTGCGGTCGATCCCATTGTTAACCTTTCTGTAGGTTTCCCAGGAAGGCTAGATCTCTTACAGAGATCTCAGGAAGTGAGAAAAATTCTTCAAGTTGGAGTAATAACAGCTCAGGGTTGGCAGGGACCTTAAAGGTCATTGAGCTCAGCCACCCATCTGGAGTCTAAATCACTGCAACAGTATCCCTGCCAAGTGGTCATTGTTAAACTATTTTATGAGAAAGAAGAACAGATTCACTTGAGGTTTGGAAACCCTGTCATTAAAACCTGTTGATCTATTTGGTTTTTTATTCTTTCAGACAACATATTTATTGTTGTCCACTTTCTTGTCCTCTGGAAATCTGACATGGCTGCCTTCTGTGTGTCATCCATGTTTCTGATAAACAGCATCAGGGCCAGAGGCAGCGCCCTGCCGCCACGAGACAGGGAGAAGCCCTGCTCTGGGTTCAGGTCTGCCTGCACAAATCACTGCCCTTTGGCATTGTTCAGCCATTTACTCAGCCACTCAGTCAACACTGAGTCGGCGCATGCTTCTCCATTTTGATTCTGAGAATGCCGGTCGTAGCAATGCGTCTCTAATGTGCAGTCAATCTGTCAGAGTCTGTTAGGTTACCACAACCTCTTTTATTTATTCTTGGTGAGTTTAAGTTGGCTTCTAGGACTCACTGCTTAAAGTACTTCCTTTCAATAATCCATCAAATTCTCTTTCCAAATCACTGTTCTGTATTTGAAGAAGTCTGCCTTCTCCTCCACTTTGAATATTCATGCTACAATTTTCATGTAATTTTTTGGTGAATCTCCCTTCTTTGTGATCCTCAACTATCCACAGTGTGACCCAGCAACAAAATCTGTTCATTTCCTGGCATCTCATTTGCCCATCCCAGTCTATGCCGTTTAAGTTAGAATCCATCCCATCCACTGCCATCGAGTTGGTTCCAACACAAATGATTCTATGTGGAATTTTCAAGGCTGTAAATCTTTATGGAAGCAGATAGCCTCAACTTTCTCCTGCAGAGCTTCTAATGGGTTTGAACTGCCGACCTCCAGTTAGCGATCCCATGTTTACCTAGCAGCACCACTGGGGTTCCTGTGCTTAGAATAGACCAGTTGAGGAACCCTGGTGGGGTAGTAGTTATGAGTTGGGTTTCCATCCGATAGGTGCCTAGTTGGAAACCACCAGTCCCTCCGAGGGAGAAAGATGGGACGTTGTACTCCTGTTAACCGTTTCAGTCTCAGAAACTCCGAGGTCTACCCTGCCCTATAGGGTCATGTGAGCCGGCGTCAAATCTGTGGCCGTGAGTTTGGTTGGTTCCGTCAATGATTATCTTACAACTTTTTATTCATTTTAGAGTTTACGTTCTTCCTTCTGGTACGATGATCCTTCTTCTGGATGGAGAAGCTGAGAAAAAATAGGAGTTAGAGCATTTAGCTTTCTCTGTGTTACCCACTCCTGTTAACGCTAAACCTTCCTCACTTTGTTATGTGACATTTTGATGATTGCTGAAGTTTGATCTTGTTGGCCTTTTGTGCCTGCTTGTTTTTGTGGTAGTTTCAGGAGAAAGGGGCATGCGAGGGTCTTAAACATGATTCAGAAACAAGGACTAGACGGCGGTATCCAGCCTTCTCTTCTCTCTGGCAGGCTTCAGCTAATTGGGAGTGGTGGCTTTCTCGATGTCACGTTGATGTGTTCATTTCGCTCCCTGACAGTCTTTCATCGTCGGCCCTTCTTCCGCCTTCTCGACACTCCCGCGGGACATGGACCTTGTGACAGTCTCTGTGCTGTCACGCTGGTTCCGGAAAGGACACCCTCTTCTCTTCGGTGGGAGCCTCTTGGTGATTGCACTGCCAGCGACCCATTTGGACTCCGCCAGCCTCGGAAACCATTCTCTTCTGCTGAGTTTCATGTCGCTTTTCTTTGGATCACTTGAAGTCCACTTTCCCCTCTTTGACTGTTCAGAACTCCAGCTTGACACAGTAACTCTCTCTCTCTCTCTCTCTGAGAGTTCCTTCCCATTTTTCTTTCACCAAGTTTTTTTTATTCTCCTTGGTCAGAATTGACGATTCTGACCAGAGTTGAAGTTCCCCTAATTGCTTCCTCTACCATTGGGGTGATACCATTGACACTAAAGTAAGTCAAAGCCTGCCCTGTGCCCAGTTTCTAACCATATGAGACCCCTTCTCGCTGATGTCTGGATGGTTGACACCCCATCCCCACACTTCCTTGCGTCTGTTTCTGTCTTATGTTATGACCAGGGTGCCTCATGTGTCTTCCACTGAGCTCAGCAGTCGGTTCTGTGTTCTCAATCACCTGTGCTTTGTTAGCGCTCCTTTTCCCTTCACACACAGCACTTTAGCATGTTTCTACCGCAGACTCATGAGTTTCCACACGGGTGTGTCCTTTCTTGCCCCATAGTGCTACTCTGCTTCTCCTTCTTAGACCACCCAATGGCAATAAAGCTAAGCAAGTGAAGCAGGCCAGCTCCCTCAAATGAGCCTTGATTGCCAGCCTACCCTCTACAGCTTTGTCCTCTGCTATTGTGGTACCTCTGACTTATGGTCTCAATTTTCACTTCTTTACGTTACCCTTTACCCATGTTTATTCATCCGCCTTGGAGCATTAAGGATCCCTTCTGATGCCTGTCCCAGGTGGTTTCTCCAGTGAGTCCGTGGGAAGTGTCCGCATCATTATCAATGATCTGATCATTCCCCGTCGACAGTTCCGCATATTGTTCTTCTCATGTCATATCTGCTGCCCTCCATGGTAAATGGTCCTGCAGCTTTTTGTCCTTAGGCATTTCCCCCTGCTTCACCACCGTCAATTAAGAACCCCACTGATCAGTTCTACCTGAATTGGCAAGAGAACCTTCAAGACCCTTCTTCAAGGGCAAGACTGAGTGCTAACCTCAAAGCTCACATTACCTCTAAGCTCAGCCTCTGTTTTAACCAACTGTTATAGTTTATATATAGCAAAAATTAGCAGTTATTTCTTTGTATTTCTTTTCTGTCTTTTTGTTCCATGAAGGTTCTTATATGTAGGGAGGTAGCCAGCAGAGAGGCCATGGAGAAGAAGGAAGAGACTGGGCCCAGCACAGAGCGGGCCTATGTGGTCCCTTTCGGCCTCACTGCTTCCCTGTTCCGGTCCCTCTCTTTGCCAGTGGGTGATTTCTTACATGATTTGGAGGGTTTAGATTTCCACTTGTTTCCCCTGGTTTGCGAGTTAGCTTCATATCCCTGTGCCTTCCCAGCTGAGAAGGTTGTTGAAAGGATCATATGAGATGATATATGTTAAGTGCCTGGTACAATATTTAGCCTATACTAAGCAAAAGATGATACCTATTGTTGATAAGGACATGAGATTGAGCTCATTTTAACTGTGTCGCTGGATCAAAGTGTGACTTGTCGGTTCTTCTAGTGTTCTTCCCCAGAGTAGGAAGTCAGTGTGCTGCATCACAGTGTGACTTGTCGGTTCTTCTAGTGTTCTTCCCCAGAGTAGGAAGTCAGTGTGCTGCATCACAGTGTGACTTGTCGGTTCTTCTAGTGTTCTTCCCCAGAGTAGGAAGTCAGTGCAACTGTTTGAAGTGCAAGATGTCACGACACTGGTTTTTGTTTTGTTTGCTTTAAATGAGTCACTTACTTGATTTAATGAAGTTCTCACTCTGAGGGAATCTGGAGATGGAAGGGAACTGGCGTTTAGTAAACAGAAGTAAACTCCTATATAGTACCTCTTTGAGCCTCAGAAGGTGACAGTGATTAATAACAGTTATTCTCATGACCAGTTGACATTCATTGAGCCCATACTGCAGGCTGGCTTCTGTCTTGAGTATTTCACCCGCCTCGCCTTACTTAACCTTCACAACAGCGCTGGGAACAAGTAGGCCTGTGTTGCCCTCCATGGGGAAGGCAGAGTAATAACTTGCCCAAGTTAATAACAGGTGGCGTGCAGATAGGATCTTAGACCCGTGTGACTCCAGAGCCCCTGTCCCTAACACAGTGCTCAATCCCACGGCTCAAGCTAAAATGCAGACGATTCTTCTGTGCCCTTACTTCCTGTCAACACCCACAGCAATTACAAACGGGGCATGGTCTGGTGTCACTCGCTGGCCTCCTGCATGCACTCCTCAGTCTGTTACGATGCCCTTGGACCTGTAATTGACCGGTGGCTGTTATCTGAATGGACAGGTGTGCAACTGCTTACATTCTGTTGGCTGAAGAGGAAGCAACAACCATTGCTGAAGCAGAGAAGCTCTTTAAGCAGGCCCTGAAGGCTGGAGATGGCTGTTACCGGCGTTCCCAGCAGCTACAGCATCACGGGTCCCAGTATGAAGCACAACACAGTAAGACTTCCTCCAGATTGACACTTTGGGGTCAGAATTGTGAGCCAATTCACGAGAGCAAATTTTCAGGCCAATTCAAATATGACTCTTTCAGATGGCGACAAAGATTGACTTTTGCCGCTGTTTGATTTTTATTACATTTCCCCACCTCCTAGAAGAACAGTTAGTGTGTAAATTAACTTAGGCCTTCATCATGGCTTCTATTCTGATTCTCTTTCCCAGAAATAGGCAAAAATGACCTTGAGTGGGAACCTTTATTCCTCTTCAGACTTCCCACATATTTCTGTTTATCAGTTGCTTCTCTGTCCTGGAAATCTAAGTCCTGATTGGGGGTGGGGGGGGGTCACTGCCATCAAGCCAGTGCGAACTCACAACGACCCTAGAAGACAGGGTAGAACTGCCCTTGGGCTAGAAGACAGGGTAGAACTGCCCTTGGGCTAGAAGACAGGGTAGAACTGCCCTTGGGCTAGAAGACAGGGTAGAACTGCCCTTGGGAGTTTGCGAGACTGTGACTCTTCATGGGAGTAGCAAACCCCTTCTTTCTCCAGGTGAGCGACTGGTGGTTTCAAATTGCTGATCTTGCAGATTGCAACCCAATGCATAACCACTACACCACCAGGGTCCCTCCCTAGTTAGGAAGCAGGATTTAAATGTCTTAACTGCTACCCAAAGGTTTCCTCTTGTGTGTCCTCTACTGCATGGATTGAAATAGGACAATTAAGAATATAAGAGTTCCCTGATAGTCTCAGCCTTCAGCTCTTATTTAAGAATCATTAGAGAAGAGCCGCGAGTTTCTAATTATTGCCTTTTTTGATATTAAAAATAATGACTTATTTAAGACAACTCTTTACATATACTGAACCGAGAGTTTTGTGGGGAACATTATGGACAAAAATAACTTCTGGATTCCCCGAGCTGCTCCACTAGCCCACTGGTTCTTTAAGCAAAAGTTAGCATTCCTTGTTGGGTGAGGGCAAGGGTTTTTGCCACCCAGAAAAAAACTCAGGCTGTTTCTTTAAGGTGGAATTACTCTTACCTTACCGCAATTTGGAGGGTAATCGTGTATGTCATTGATATTTAAATTATAAAATTAAGTTTTGGTGTTAAATTTGGATTTGAAGTAGAAGCTGGATGCATTAATCTCCAAGGACTGTGATATGTTCAGGAGTCTATCCACACAACCTGTCAACATGCTTGTAGAGGCTTTTATAGTTATTTGCAATGAGTGTATGCACCAGCCAAGCCTCTAATCACCAGCCATACAGCATGCTTATAATAAGAAAGTATTATGTATAGCACAATGACTTTTGAAAGCATATGTAGTCAATGTCTACTTTATAAACCATGTAAGAATGTATAGAAATACATAACCTGTTACACAACTTAAGAATTTTCTTTCTTATTTCTTTTCGTCTCCAAATGGAATCCTTTCAACCTGTTGCTTAAATCTATCTAAAGTATATAATCATACCTTTAAAATAATTTGTAGATACTTGGCAAATTTTCTGCACACATCTTGTTCTCATTGTTTAAAATTTGAAATGTTAGGACTTGGGTCTTAACATCTTTTAATAGCTGCATATTATACATGTACCTAATCTGTAACAGGTGTGTCATATTTTTTGAAACATGGTAATTTTATTGAGGATTAAGCATATGCATGTTCTCACTGGTCTGGAACCATATCCAAAAGACATGTCACTGAGTCAGAGATTAAGATAAGAAGTTGTTAATGGACTTTTTAAGAGCCGTTTGGGTGACTATCGTTGAAACTATTTAGCTTGTCAGTGCCTTTTCTAGCACGAGGGCAGTTTTTCATTTTGTTGCATCCCCGATTGTCATATCTGGAATGTGTTATATTGCCATCGAAAATGGACTGCTTTGGGGACCTGGAGATGATTATGATGTCACTAGTGTTGGGGAAGGAATAATAGAAAACAGAAGTTCAAGATGAGGCTTCTCCTGAGTTAACGTCAAGAAGGGAAAAGAAATTGTTCATCAGGACGCAACCCAAGATTCACCTCTGTGCATCTCTAGCAAAAGCACGTGGAATCCTGACTTGTAAACGAGATGCAGAGCGGGGATGTGCAGTTTCCCCAACTGACGGCAATGATTTTCTTTATCAAATAGCCAGCATCCTAACTCAAAACCTTGGAGTAGGTCACCAGGCGTGTGATCCCACCTTTGCAAGGCTCACCCTGACCTCGCCTCCAGCTGTCCCACGGTGAACAGAGTGGTCTGTGCTCCCCGCACTGTGTCAGGGCCAAAAGAGCAGTCTGTTCCCCACTGGTGGTCCTTTAAGGGCACGGGGGATAGGCCTTTGTGTTTTCTCTTGCTGCTTGGTTGAAAACTCATGTCTTCTTCTTAAATGTTGGTCTTTTATATCTCCCTCTTCAGGACGAGACACCAATGTCTTGGTCTACATCAAAAGAAGGCTGGCAATGTGTGCCCGAAGACTCGGGAGGACCAGGGAAGCCGTGAAAATGATGAGAGATGTAAGTCTGCCTTTGTGTTGGGGCTTGGTGGCAAAGCAGGCAGCCACAGAGCTGTGTGAGGATCCGCTGCGCCGTGGGCTTGTGAGCAGACAGCGGTGGGCTCAGGCCTAGCCCCCAGGTTCCTATCTGCAAGATCTTGAGCAAGTTACTCAACCTCTTTGTGCCTTGGTTTCCCCATCTGTAAAATGGGCATAACCGCTATTTCCTAGGCTTCTTGTGAAAATCAAATGAGGTACTACGTGCACAACTTTTAATAGAAAAAAATTAATCTCAGCAAATTATTTTACTGAGTCTATTATTAAACTTTTGGGCTGTTGCCAGAAGCCAAAAAAGACTGCAACCATTTGTGCTAACTGGCTTTTTCTCTGTGTGGCTGTTCGGAAGATTTGAATAAACTATGAGTCAACTACACGGAGCTCTTAGGAGCAGTGGGTTCTGCATTGTTCTGCTAACTGCAAGGTTAGCCTTTCGCCACCACCAGCCACCCCATGAGAAAAAGATGAGGCCGACTAGGCTCATGAAGATTTAGTCTGAGAAACCCACAGAGGCAGTTTGACTCTTTCTTAGAGGGTGGTTAGGAGTCAGAATTGACTCAAAGACAGTGAGTGAGTGTGTGAGTGCTCTATCAACTTGGTACCCTCAAATTTAGTAATGTTATGAATTAATTCTAGCCATTTCATGTATTGTCTTATACCATTCCTTGAATCCGCTTCTTAGTGGTGGTACTAAACATAAGAATTAAGAAGAGAGAAAATAGATTAGAATTTTAAAATAAAAGAGAACCAAGGGGGTTAAATTAAAACAGCCCATGGAGGAGCCATTACTGCCACATATAAATAAAAGCCACCTATTCAAAAAGTAACTGATACAAGGATGAATTCTACTTCTAAGCCATTTTCCTTTTAAAAGCCATCTCAGAAAACCTCTGCCCACATTGTGTTCTGCTCATGGCTTAGTGGTTACACATTGGGCTGCTAACCCCAAGGTCAGTAGTTTGAAACCACCAACCCCTCTTCAGGAGAAAGAGTTTCAGTCTTGGCAACCTAAAGGAACCTATCGAGTCACCATTGGGTCAGAATCCACTTGATGGAAGTGAATGTAGTTTTTGGTATTGGTGTCCTGCTTAGGAAACATAGGTACATTATTAAAAAGATACATGAAAAAAGTGACAAGATTAAAGTGTGCTCTTCCCAAATCCCCAGCTTGTAAGTGTGACAATCACTACTAGCTTCCATCAAGTCGTCTGCCTCCTGGTTGCCCCTGGCATTCAGGGTAGCACTGTGCTCTGAAGGGTTTTGGAGGGCTGGCGGTTTTTTGAGAACGAGATCCCTGGGCCTTTCTTTCTTTCAAGGAGTTGCAGGTGCTTCTGACCCCCAGTGGTTTGGTTCATAGCCTGCCCATTTGCATCACCTGGGGACTGCAGACGAGTTCTTCAAAGACCCCTTGAGGCACGGTGCAGGGTGGGGGGATGGGTTCAGGAGAGAGATTCAGGGGCTCATGCCTTCAGGAACGCCTTTATCAACCTCAAATGGAAGGAGGGCGTGAGGACCCCTCTTTCTTTAGAGAAGCACTTGGTCCCAGCCTTGCAGAGGTGTTTGTAGGTCAAGCTGACCCTCGGACTCTTCTCGGGTCATTGATCTTTCTTCAGTGGAGACTTCTCTGAGGCATGCGCTCCCTTCCGAGCATGCCCAGAAACCATCTGGCTGGAAAATGCCTGCCCGATAGAACAGCACAGAGGCCTGCAGGCAGCCTGCTGCCTCAGCATCTAGACAGGAGCGCCTGACGTTTCATTCAGACACAGCCACCCTTGCCCCATGTGCACTGGCATGAGTAAGAATAACAATCCTACAGTTACTTCCTAGGCTTCTTGTGACAAGCAAATGAGGTACTACCAGCAAAACTTTCCATAGAAAAAAAATTTATCTCAATAATTGTCCTTATTATGAGACTTTTGGACTGTTGCCAGAAGCCAAGAATGAATGCAACCATTTTTTATAACTGGTTCTTTTTTACCCTATGTAGTTAGGAAGATTTGAAGATACTGTGTGTGAGGCCGGGATGGCTATAGACACACATACTCAAATATAAGAAAGAGATTTCTATCAAGAAGCTTTCTATATTGGGAAAACATCCCAGCCCAGTCCAACTCAAGTCCATAAGCCCGTTACTAGTCCATAAGTCCCTCTTCAGACCCCCGCAGCCACACGTTATGATGCACAATGTAGGAACATCACAGGCCGGTGAGTGAAAAGTCTTGTGGATCCACTGACGGTGGAAGCATCTCTGGCAGGCCACAGTACGGCTCGCCCGCAGGAAGGTAACAGCAGAGAGGGGAGGTTCCCAGGGAGGTTATGAAAAGGCCACCAGGAGGCACCGAGAGGCTGTGACCCGATTGACAGACGAGATTCCCCCCCTACACTTCTACTTATCAAGTTGACATGAAATTATGTAATGACCACACTGAATCGACTAGAAGGAGCCCTGGTGGCACAGGGGTTCTGAGCAGATTTAATGCGCAAACGAAAACGCCAGACTCAGAATGTGTGTCCCACAGAATGCACAGCTGTGTTTTTCGGTTTATTTATATTTTAAGCTTCATTTTTTTCTTCCTGGAAATGCCTTCAAGAAAGGTAAACTGCTAATTTGTGAAATATACTGAAAGTGAATTCTGGGAAGGCCGGCTCTAAATGATCCTGGCCATTTCCATGACCCAGGATTGCCTTACGAACCTAACAAATATGAATGCTGTGAGAACGGATGAGGTTCAAGCACAACCAGAGTCCCTGGTGGGTTCTCAGGAGGCATTTTGGTTACTGTTGTTTTGACAGCAAAACTTAATTATTTTAAGTTTCCAGAATTAACTAGCCTCCTTTTGTGATCAAGGAACTGGAAGCAGCTTCCTGCCCAGTGACTGTTTTGACAGTAGGCAGAGCTAGGGCTTACTGTCAGGTGTTAAATATTTATTATTCTAAATGTAAAGGATTGCACTGCATGATTTCTTTCTTTCTTTGAAACAGTTTTATCCCATACTGTACAATGCAGTAGTTCAGTAATATTAAAAAGAGCTGTGCAATCATCGCCACAATTAATTTTAGGACATTTTCTTCTTTCTTGTACTCATTGTTATTAGCTCCCTCCAACTACCCCTGGCATACCCCTAAAACACTATTAATCAGTTATTGTCTGTATAGATTTATTTAATTTATTTAAGGATACATGCCCTTTCTTAATTTAATTTAAAGATACATGCCTTTGCTTGGCTCTTGTTTTTGGTAATTTCACCTCTCTATCCTTTAATAAGGAGACCTGATGGCATAGCAGGTTACACATTGGGCTACTAACCTCAAGGTGAGCAGTTTGAAACCACTAGCCCACTGTGCAAGACAAAGAGGCTTTCTGCTCCCATAAAGAGTTACAGTCTTAGAAACCCACCGGGGCAGTTCTATCTTGTCCTATATGATCACCATGAGTCAGAATTGACCCAGTGGCAGTGAGTTGAGTTTATCCTTTGATATGTGATGCAATTTCTCTGCCCCGCCCCGCCCCCCCTCCCTTTAATGTCTACCATTTAACTAACCTTGAGTTGTTCCTCTCTCTTTCTGTGTCAGACAGGGTTCTCTAGAGAGATAAAACCAAATTCCTGATAATATAATATATTTATTTATAAAGATAATTAGAGATATAACGAGAAATGAACTGTTAAATCATATACAGATAAATATACAATACAAAAAATAAACAGTTAAATTAGAAAGCACTATAAATGACTTAGTGCAACTCACGTCCGTAAGAGACAGTTGAGAGACTAGCAGTCCTTCAAGTCTCTCTCTGATGCCAGATCTTCCTCTATTTGTAGAGAGAGCTAGGCTATGTCAGCACAGCAGCCAATCACAAGGCAGGTCACCAACCGCCAGTCCCCAGCTCCAGAGTAGTCTTAAACGGACCTCAACTTGCAGCAACACAGTCCACAGGCTAGGCGTCCCACAGGCAGTGTAGCCTTTAAATTGAGGCACAGAACAAGCAACGCAGCCGCACACTGGTCCGATGATCACAGAGCGAGAGACAAGAAAGGCAAGGCTCACCAAGCCATTTATCTCTCTGCCCTTCAGCCAATCCCACCTGCGTTTTTCAGCCAGGCTGGCACAATAAACTACCTCACTTTCCCTGCCCTATTTAGGTAGGTTTGGGGTAGAGTTTATAAAGCAGATGATATTTGGTCTGGCTCTGAGCTATCCTACTTAGAGCTGGTGTGGGTGTGCTGGCTTCCATCGGAAAAACCTAAGAGCGTCTTTGGTCCATGGCCTGCGCTCTTGGTCAGGTTGTCTCAGACTCAGCACTACTGACTTTTTAGGCCTGATATTTTGTGTAGCGATGACTGCCTTGGGCACCAGGGGGTCTTGAGGTGCCAGTAGTAACTCTCAGTGAAAACAAAAAAATGTCCATGTCGTTGTTGTTCAGTGCCGGCGAGTGAATTCCAGCTCCTGGCCATTCCTACACCAGGATCACAATTGTTGGCAGATGTCAGCCCATTGCTGTAGCCACTGTGCCAGTCCACAGTGTCCCTGTTGAGAGCCACTTGTCTAGAAATTCTTAAGGATCATCCGTCTGTATAATCTTCAGGCATGGGGGTGTTAAGTACTTGTTGCTAGTCTGGGCTCCCCTGATACAGCTATCAGCCCTGAAAGTACTTGAGTTAGAACCGATCGGGTCCTTCTAGAACTCAGACCTGGGACCACACTGTTTTGTTCCACATGGGACTCCCTAAGGCAGCAGCGCATGGCGGTGATGGTGGTAGTTGTTAGGTGCCATTGAGTCGGTTTTGACTCATCGTGACCTTATTTACAACAGCACACCCGCCACTCTGAGGGAGGAAGATGGGGTTTCTACCCTTGTGAAGAGTTACAGCCTTGGAAGCTCACAGTAACAGTTCTGCCCTGCCCCGTAGGGTTAGCTAAGTCAGAATCCTCACAATGGCAATGAATTTGAGGGTTTTGTCCAAA